GACCCATCACTTGTCTAAACACGCTTTATAAGTGGTTCACGTCGTGTCTGCTTGTCACTACAAACCAGCATCTGGAGGAGAACGATCTAATGGGGGGGGGGGCGCAGAGGGGGGCACATGCAGGATGCAGTGGGACAACAGACAACCTATTGATCGATCGAACAGTTGCGTTGGATTGTCATAGGAGGGGGCGGAATTTGAGCGTGGCCTGCATTTATGTAAAAAAAGGCGTACGATTCTGTAGATCATGGTTGGTTGAATGGGGTGATGACGTTACACAGGTTTCCCACATGGTTGTGTAAAGTCATTGCCAAACTGTGTAAGAGTTGTAACACAAGTAAAAAGGTAGTGGCGCTCACGAGGGAAGGGGGACAGACCTCCGAAAGGATTAAGTTCAACAGAGGGTTACCACAGGGGGATGCATTGTGTCCGAGGCTGTTCACCGTATGCTTGAACCCAGTTACATGGAAGATCAGAGCCGCTGAAGGATACCGGATGTCCAAACTTTTTAAAAGCAAGGTTACGGGACTCTTGTATATTGATGATCTCAAGATCTCCGCTGCATTAGAGAGTAAGCTTAAACGGGTTATGAAGATGGTTAAGTCATCTATGGAGGATGTGGGGCTTCAGTCGAACCCAAAGAAGTGTGCGGTGGCCCATGTGAAAGGGGGGTACAAGTGACTGCTGTCTCAGGGGTAGAGTTGCGGAGTCGACTAGAATACCATGTCTTGATGATGATGAGCGGCAAAAGTTCCTTGGAGCACTTGAGAGTGTTAGGCAAGAGGATAAGTTGGTCCTGGAGTGTGCAGCAAAAGAGTATCATATACGATTGTCAATTATTTGGACAAGTCCCTTGTCCGATTATAATCGGGTGGTAGCGTCAAATCAGTTTGCATTGCCTGTTCTTGGATATCTTATGTAGACACAACAGTGGCCGGTGATGGAACTTAAGCAGATCGATAGGAAAGCACGCAAGATTGTTGTCGAGAGTGGGGGTAGACACCCATGTACTTAGAATGCATTGTTGTATATGCCAAGAAGTAAAGGGGGGCGGTGATTGCGTTCTGTTGAAATGGAGTACAAAGCCACAAAAATCAAGGGTGCAGTCAGACTCCATAGTAATGAAGATCGGGCACTGGGAATGGTACGGGAGTTTGAAGAGCAAGCGGCAAGGATGAGGCGTAGGTCCATTTTTAAAGAAGCGGCTCAGTGCGCGGAGGAGTTGGGGCTGGAGTTGGATTTGGAACACGCGCAAGGGATCAAGAAGGAGGTGCAGAGGTGCCAAATTGAGAAGTTAGGGGATGAAATCAGAAACCAGCGATGGAAAGGGCGTCTAGTGACTACCAGGCTGGAAGATGAGAGTTTGAGTGCCGATGGGTGGTTCTGGTGGCTTACAGAGTGGAAGAACTGCCCATCACACACAACTGCTGGACTCGTTGAGCTATACGAGAAACTCTTGCTAACCCGAGTATACACGAGTCAGAAGACCCACACAAGCGGGGAAGGCGAGGTGAGGTGCAGGTTATGCGGTAAGGCTCCAGAAAGCGTGGCTCATATCTTGTCAGGATGTAGTGGGCTGGCCCAGAGCAAGTATCTCTCTAGAAGCGACGCAGCACTGAAGATACTGTTTTACGAACTGTCGTATGATAAGGGAGTTATAGACGAGATACCACCTTGGTACTCACCCGACAAGCCCAAGCCTGTGTATGAGTCAGAGAATGTTAAAGCTTATTGAGATGTCCCTATATAGGCTGATCAACAAGAGGTCAGATGCAATAGGGTGGATGCACGCATTGTAAATCATATGTGCAAGAGAGTTGTGACGCTGGAAATGAGCTGCCCGTGGGTTAACAATCGGACAAGAAAGGATGAAGAGAAGACACCTAAGTACGGACCCCTTCGCTGGGAACTAAGGAAGATGTTCCCAGGCTACGAGGTGAAGCAATATAACATCTTAATGGTGCCCTCGGGGCGTGGTCATGGGAGCTGGATGTCATGATGCGCGAGCTGGGGGGAGGCAGAAGCACAGACGTACTGCGAAAGATGCAGAGGGCAGTGCTCTCGGGCACGTTGAATATCGTCCAGACTTTCAAGGTGCCAGTTTGAGTTCCTGTTAGAAGGAGGACCGTATACACAACGTAAAAGCTTTTTAGGATCAGTTCGTGTACATTTTTTTTTTACTTCATGGCTCACAGGTTATGGTTTTCGCCCTGTGTTGCTTGATTAGAATGTGGCATTCAGTTGAATTCTCTTTGGCGATGATAATAATGATAATAACAATGATGATAATAATAATTTAATATTCATATTGCGAAAATTAACATGTGGATATGATCAAATGTGCATCACAACACTTTTCGGGGGTCTTTGGCCGGACTGCATCAGCAGTTTACAAACAATCGAAGGAAACTTATTTGAAGATGCCCCCTCCCCCCCAATTCCCGGTAAACAAGCCAGACCACATCACAGTAATCTCGTGAGTAGGTTCTTTAACGTCCCCTACCTAACAAAATTAACTAATTAATAGATGCAGGAGACGGGACCTAAGGTTTATTCGTCCTTATCCGAGAAGACTAGAATGTCTATCCATTTCTTGATATTATAGAAAGGTAGCACATTCTCCTCAGTTATTTCAAGACCTTCAGGTTGGTACGGCCGGAGCTCGAACCCTCGACCTCGACCTCGACCTCCCGCACAACTGTCCGGCGCTCTTACCAAATGAGCCAACCTGGAGGTTTGTTGGCAAAAACTGTTGAAACCCAGCTTTTTGTTTGAATTTGACAAGCGTTTCATCAATTACTATATTTCTTTAGAGGTTCAGTGCCCCTTGAATGTTCCTTGTAAGGATATTTAGAAAATCTCTGATTTTATTGAGTTTGTCATACCCAGGGCTATCCTTTCGCAATCGAGCAAAGTCACTCTTAATGTCAACAAAATGCAAGTAACGCAAAATTTGAAAAAAAAAACACTTTTAGTCATAACTGCAGAAAAACCTGGTGTCTTTATTAGAGCATTGGAACTCCAGTAGTTACCTACTGAAGGTTGCTATACGATCCCCATTGTTAGGTACAAACCAAGCCACGATTTTAACTCATCAACGGTGAGATTGCTACATGGCTGATTTTGATTGCGTGGGTCTTCACGTTGTTGAGAAGGATACTGATTGGTTTCTGTTACGATAAGATCGTAAAGATCACCGGTAAACATGAGTTCAAAGACATCAAGTGCTGATTTTTTTGGCAGCATCCGAACTTTTAGGCCCACAGAACTCTTGTCAAAATCGAAATCATTGTGATTAATGTTATCCGAAGTCTATTCCTCAATTGTCATAGTCCTCTTTTTCTTCCCCGTCAGAGGACATTTTCAAATTGTTCTTCATCAAACGATCTGCGTCATTCAAATCCCTGTCAGCCATTTTTAAAACACCACACGAGTGACACTTCGAAGCCTCCGAATTTGAATAACCTTGCAAATGCCAGAAAACTTGTGAAATCTGTCGATGAATTCGAAGCCAAACATTTACGGACCCTATTGGCATTAAAAGAGCCCTCCTTTAGGCCTTTTTTCCAATCTGTGCATAAATTGGATTTGTCGAAATAAAATTACGCATATCTGCGCAACTGAGAAACAAAGGGTTAATTGCTCTATTTTTTAGCCGTCCCTTGCAAAACAACAACGTGAAATCACCAAAATGTACGTCGTCTGTGAACCAAAATCGCGACGACAGATTATTTTAATTGCCATTTGGAACTCAACGCTACTTTTATACGTTATGCTGAGGTTGAGTTGAGACGCCGTATGAGATGGTAAACAAATGTACAGGCAGCCATTTTCGAAATTCTGATTGAAAGTATAAATTGATTTTTTGCCCGATGTAGGAGGCTTGGCAGTCGGAACAATTGATCTTATAAATCGTTCCCTGTCTGTTCCGCGGTTCGTCTTTGTCTTTAACGTTGGTTAGTAACTGACGAGGTGTGGTGATAGGTTTGTGGGCGACGCGGATATTGAAGGATAGTAAGATGCGCGAGATGTTTTCAGACATGCCTTTTATGTACGGTATGGTTGCTGTAGTCGTAGGGGTTGCGGTGTCGTTTGTTTCGGTAGTGGTAGTGGGTCGGTGAGTGTTTCGTCGGATGAAGTCGTTGTTGTAGTTGTTCTTCGTAAAAACACGGTGAAGGTATTTGTTCTCGTCGGATAAGCTGTCTGTCGAGTCGCATACTAGTTGTGCGCGTCGTGTTAGAGTTCTGATAGTTGTGGCTTTGTGTGATGTAGGGTTGTAGGATGACTCGTCTAGTAATCTGTCGGTGTGTGTCGGTTTCCTGTAAACTGTCGTCCGTAATGAGTTGTCGTTGTGGCTTACCAGGCAGTCTAGAAAAGGAAGTTTGCCATTTTCTTCGACTTCTCTGGTAAACTGTATGTCAGTGTTTTGTTCATTAAGGTGGCGGTGGAATGCGTCAATTTCGTCGTGTCGAACGGCGGTGAAGGTGTCGTCAACGTAACGTAACCAAAGCGGTATCGCTTGTCGGCAAGTCGAAAGGGCGCGTTCCTCGATGTTCTGCATCACAATTTCTGCTATAACAACAGAAACTGGAGATTTGAAACTGCTTTCTGCTATAGCAACTGAAACTGAAACACAATTTCTGCTATAACAATTGAAACTGCAGTTTTGAAACTGCTTTCAAAACTGCAGTTTCAGTGCTATGCAGAGTCTTATATACAGACTGCAGAGGTTCGTGTAGCGCACTGTTGGTATGATGTGTTAAGTTGTAAAAACACAGCTTTTTCAATTAACTTGGAAACAAATTTCAGATTGGACACAGGACGAAAATTAACTAAATCCCAGAGTCAGAATTAGATTTCTTTAACAAAGGTTTCACCATAGCAGTCTTGACATCCCTCGGCATTTCACCAGTAGAAAGTGATAGGTTAATGATATTCTTCAGAGCAGCCACCAATGTCAGGTAACACTTCCGCACAACAGAGGCAGGTAGAACATCGAGTCAGCATGACTTAATTGTACTGTGTTTAATGAGATCAATGACTTCAACATCAGCAAGAGGAACAAATGATGAACAACATGATTCCTCAGCAGAACAGGGCTCAAATTGTTCGTTATTTAAGCGCCTCCCGTCAGCAATCTTACGCCGGATGCCGTCGACTTTTGATTGAAAGAAGTCAGCAAAAGCATTTGCAAGTTCGACATTGTTTTCAGCAGCCGGGTAAATCTTATTGGGATTTTTATTAAGCAGATTGTTAACAGATCTAAAAAGTAAAGTAGGGTCATGGGAGTTTTCTTCAATAAAGGTAGAATAGTAGGCCTCCTTCGTTCGATGTAACAGTTGATTTACAATATCACATTGAGACAAGAATTTCGCTTTGTCAGATTCAAGTTTAGATGGTCGCCATTTGTTCTCAAGCCTTCTCCGTAGTCTCTTCTCGGCAGCAATTTCATCAGTGTACCAGGGTGCGTTAGGATGCAGAGTAATAGTTCTTGATTTCAAGGACGCCAACTTGTCAAGAGCACCCAATAAAGTTGCATCATACATTTGTAAAAGAGAGTTAAGGCCAGATTCTTCATCCAACAACCCCGAGTGGCGTATAGCATCATTAAGCTTGTTAATAACGAGGCTCTTGAGTCTTCTAGAGACCATAGTTTTACGTGCTTTGAGTGGTTTTACAAGATTCATGTTAAAACAGATTGGCTTATGGTCAGAGATAGGTTGCTCCAGAGTAGATAAGTTTGCTAGGAAAGAAAAATCAGCATCAGATCTTGTTATTACCAGGTCTAAAATATGACCATGGTGGTGAGTAGATGCTCTGACATGCTGTTTTAAATTAAAATTCTCGAGAAGAGATGAAAAACGAGTAGAATTACCATCATCAGATGCATTCACTTGAAAATTAAAATCATCCACAACAAGAAGTTCAGCGTTCGAAGTGATGACTTCTTCCATCAAAATAGAGAATCATTAAAAAATAAGTCAACAGTGAGGGTATTATCGGTCGATGGAGGTGGACAATAAACAACAATGACCCTCACAGATTTATAATGGATTAAGATGCAGTCCATGTACTCAAAACTTTTGAAAGATGAATTCGTACGTCTTGATTTAAGTCATTTAACATTGAGCACAGTCTTATCATAGTTAATAGTGGGGACTGGTTATGAAGGCCGGCATACATCAGAGAGCTAGGTCATTGTTCGAGTTTATCGAAGCCAACCAAGCGTGACCGTGCACACACATTCAAGATGGCGGGGAGCTAGAAGACTTGTGTACGTGGTTTGATCTGTTTCTAAAGCGTCATGATGTAGTTCTGTCCACCGGGACAGTTTATTTAAGTATCTAAACTCGAAATTACAATGCCTGGCGACAACTGTGCCGTGTTTGGTTGCGGTATATGTCGTAGAACGAAAGGAATCGGCATATTTAAGTTGCCCTCGCTGCGAAATGCCGAATATGACAAATGGCACAAAGAGTGGCTGAATCAGCTGACCAAAACAAGAATTATCGACAAAGATTTCCAAAGTCAAATCGATAAAGGAAATGTATTTACACGTGAGAAGCATTTCGATCCAAACGATATCGAAACGTGTAAGTATTCGAGTAAAATATCAATCAAATGGTACCAGGAGAAGGTCAAGAGATAACTCTAAGTCCAATGATTATATTTGAAGGATGATTTTTGTGCTCACTCTATTGTATTAACTAAACTATACTTGTTGCCATCTAAATTAGCTGAAAGTAATTATAAACCGTGACAAGTATTTTTTTGATTCTAGAGAGATGATATCCTTTGCGAAAGAAAAGGAGCGGACTCTTACATAGAGTTGAATGATGTTATGTAGTACATCTTTGGCAACAGTGCTTTCTGCTGTAAGTTCAGCATCAGACAAAATTAAATGATATGCAGAGACTACATCTATGTCATGGGTAGATCTTGATATAATGTCAGTACAATCAAGCTTTCTTATGTCAGGCTTTGAAGTTATATCCCTAAAATAGTGCTCAGCTCTTTCAAAAATTGTTTGGGTATTCTTTGTTATTGTCCATAAGCCTCCACGATTTAAAGATGAAGTTAGCCTCTGGCTATCTGAAACAGCCTGGTCATCTGACTTTCCAGCCTTAAGAATTGAGATTGCTTGCTCAATTTCCGGTGATTTTTTACTATTTGCCAGTTTGTTATGAAGTTTATGTAGAACATATCCTCC